AAATACGACACGTAGGGCATCCGATGCATGCTCAATTTCGAAAACTTCCTCTCTCGTTTTTTTGCTCAAGTAGAACCGCTTCTCTATTTGACTCTTGACTCAGTAGTGTTGTACTGCTTTCACCGCGTGCGGGTTCAGCCAAGTGCTGGATTAATTATACATATATCATAATTGTGACAAGTTCTACTGGGGAAAAAGCACCACCCCAATAGTAGTGGCATTTGTGGTGGTGCCCACTCGAAGTCACCTCAAACTTGCTCTAATGGGCAATTGCGTTAATGCACTTCGTGTTCGCACAAGATCTTTTCTTGTTACTTATTTTGGAATTACAATCGAGTGTGTCACAGTCTCGCTGCTGTTCTCTTGAGTGCTTTCGTTTCGAGATAAGTCTATGATTCAAAGCTACAATGGTGCATGAATAAAGGAAAAAAGATAAAAATGACAAAGATAAGCAATAGCTAACAATTAAGATCTCTTTGATTACTTACTTGGAAGTTTAGCAAGGAAATTAACGTCTCCACGAGTAGAAATGCCCACAGACACTACTTTTCTTCTTTCGAGAAGCTCGTCCAGTCGGGTCAAAAGATTCATACGTTCACATTCTATCGTACCGACAAGCACCTAGGTGACGGAGATAAAGAATCTATCACAGACCTTAAAAAAGAGAATGACTACCTGCACCCATCGATGATGCTGAGTACAGTCTTTACGAGGTGCACAACAGAACCCTTGATCTTTGAGGAGATCTGGCCCATGCTCGAACATCTCAGCGAATGTAAGCGACTTCCCCTCAGACCATGCCTTGGGGTAGGCACACACCTGAAGAAACATTTGGCCAGTTCTTTATTATACCCCTTACTCGCTTGATACGAAAGCGATGCGATAGAGTGAACAGGAACAGTCTGACCTGTAGTTCATTTTCAAGATCTCCTTTGTAGTGTTCAGCGCAGATCACTCGCACTCGCTTACAATACGTGTTGTTTAATTTGTTGTAAGCTTCACAGAAAAGATTGTCTGGATTAAACGAAGCCTGAAACGGATCACGATCTACGATTTAAGAACTCAGCTCATGTTTTGAACAACCCAGGGAATTTAAAGAAGCCTTCAACCATGACCAAGGATGGGAATTATGGCAAATAAAATTAGACTCGGTTACACCAGTCCGGGCACTAGCAATGGAAAATGCAAATGGTTTTCCGGCAATCAACGGAAGGAAAGCAACGAAACGGCAAGTGGAAACTTTTGACTAGCTAATACTGTATGGAATCTAATGCATTTCAATACATCTTTGTTGTCCTCTAACAAGTCACTGAAATGGTGTTAATTCTTAAGCGCTACCCTATTGTAGAAAACATTATATGGGGAGGTTACTTCCCAAGAAACATACGCTCGCTGTACAAACATTTGCCAGTTAAGGATAAAGTTCGGTCATCGTTTGCGATTTCCTTGAGGTTCGCTAGCAGCTCGAGTGTGTAGAATTTTTTGATCGTGAGATCGCAAAATCGCACGATCGACATATTCGAGCTGCAAGTGAACTGCAAGCAAGCCGCAAAGAATGACCGTGACCTAGAAAGCTCCCACAAGCTTAATTTCCATCTTTGCACAGCGGTCTATATTACATAGATTAGTTTGTTGAAAGAAGCAAATCGTAAAATTTGTCCTAAATGGAACTACTGTAACAAAAAACTTACAGGAGTAGCAGTCCCGAAAGATGTTTGCTTCTCTGAGCGCACAAAGCAACGTTCTACATGCTTTGGCAGCTGACGCCCATTTGTTTCCATACCACACACGGTACAGCTCGCCATCTTAATAATAGAGCTAATGTGAAAATTTGATGAAAACAAAGTGAGAAATTTTGAGAACAAAAAAAACTCACAAAGTCAACATCCCCTGCTTCATCGTAGCTCACTGATGTCGTCGACTTCATTGCCTTCAAACAAAGGATATGCTTATCACCTTGAAAACGAAGAAGATGGAGATGAGCCTATGCAGAGCGCTTACCGCCACATATCTTTGAATCGCTCGGACATATCCGAGCATCGTTTCCGTTTGCACCTGGATCTTCCCAATCTTCTGATCGATCGCGCGCAACTCCTCCATTGCATGCACCTGAGTAGCCCTCACTGAGTAAATGACATGATAGAAAAATAAGAAAATAATGGCAACCACT